CTGAACCCAGATGGGCCACCAATGTTGCTGGGTCAGCATAGCAGCTTCTCTCCTGTCAATCTAGAGTATTATCTTACGTGTTTATCTTCCTCACCATTTTCACATATTTTTGTTAGTGGGCAGGGTATGCCATGATAAGTTTAGAAACATAAGGAATGCAGAAGACTGGGAAGTTCTGTTCAAAGATGGCCTCTCTAAATTGGGACATACTATATACAAAGCATTAAACAAGTATTTTGCTTATTGTGTCACTAATATTAACATGAGTTACATAAAAAAAGATTTAACATCTAATTGGCCCCATCTTAAAAAAAACAAAAAAGTGACTGCCATTTGCAGAAAAAAAAATAGTATTTTTGCCAATATTTGATTATGAAGGGCTTTAAAAGCCAAAGAGTATGTGTTTTTTCCTAGTGGCAAGAGTGAGTTCCTGCAGTTTCTAGAACAAGGAAATGACACCATCAGACTTGTGCTTTTAGGTCCTTTGGCAGCTATGTGGAAAATGGATTGGAGAAGGAAAAGATAGGAGGCAGGGAGATCAATTATGAGGCTATTGAAATAGTACAGATAAAAGGTGCCTGAACTAGGGCAGTGGCTATGAGCAGAGAGAGAATGACATATGCAAGGTATACCGTGGAAGTGAACAAGAATTCTAGGGTTAAGCAGAAAAAATTTAATTCCTTTTCCACAAGCCAGACCATCAAATGTCGGAGAACAGCTATCATGTCCCCCTTTCCCCCATATGTTTTTTCTTTTAATCATCTGATTCCTTCAACTGATCGTTATATTGTATGATAAATCTCTCCCCACTTCAGCCCATACTTCATACAGTTGCAAAAGTGATTTTTCTTAAGGTCTGACCACATAAATAGACTCCAGTTTCCTATCACTTCTAGGATCAAATACAAACTCCCATTTGGCATTCAAAGTCCTTCACCACCTGGCCCCCACTTACCTTTCCAGCTTTATCACACATTGCTACTTTCATACTTGCCTTCTTAATCTCACACGTGATACTCCATTTCTCATCTCCAAGACTTTGCACTAGAAGTTCTCCACGCCTAAAATGCATGCCCTCCTCACCTGCCTCTTAGAATGTCAGATTTCCTTTAAGACTCAGCTCATGTACCACCTTCTACATAAAGACCATTCCTGATCTCCCTAGCTGCTAGTGCATTCCACCTCAAAAATCTGTCTTGCATATGTTTATATAAATCTCTTTTTAAGTATAATTTAAGGTCCTTAAGGAGAGAGGCTGTTTTACTTTATCTTTCTTTCCCTTGCACCTAACAAAGGGCCTGATGAAGCACGTATTAATAGATGCTTGTTGATTGATGGACAATCTTTACAAAGCCTTTTATAAGCCTTTACACACCCACTGCTCTCCTTTGGATCTTCTAAAGTTTATCAGTGTCTTTAAAATATGGCACTCAGAACCGAATATAATACTGCAGATGTGATGTGAACAAGGCAGAGGATAGCAGGAATACTACCTTCCAAGTAGATGATATTTTGTATCTCTTAATAAAACCTACCATTCGTTGCAGTAGATTTTTGTAGTTCATTTGTTTTATTTTTGGCTTCCATACCACAATGCTGTTTCATACTGAACTCATAGTCAATTAACCCTCCCTCTCCACTGTCACTCCTCTTCACCTCCTTTGGCCTAGCATTTAGAAGCTTTCCCCTAATTTAGCTCCCATCTACTTTTTCAGTCTTATTTCACATTACTTCCTTTCACATACTTTTTGAATAGGTAAGGATTACGGACTGTTGTCCCTTGCTCTGACCTCTCGAATTTCTGGGAAATTGGTCAGTCCATCCCCCATGCCTAGTTACCACTCTCTCTCTCTCTCACACATCTGTGCGTGTTGAAATCTTCTTCCTTTAAGATCCGATCCAGGTAATAACAGTAATGATAGCTAACATTTATATAGTGCTTATTGCTATATAAATGCTAAGTGCTTTATAATTATTATCTCATTAATTCTGGAAGGGAGGTGCTATTATTACCCCCCATTTTACAGATGAGGAAACTGAGACAGTGATTTTTAGTCATTTTAGTAATTAAGTGACTTGCCCAGCTTACTTGCCTGAGGCCAGATTTGAACTCAGGTTTTCCTGACTCCAGGCCCAGTGCTCTATTTACCTAGTTGCTCCATGAAAGTCTCCCCAGCTCCTTCCTCCCAGCTCTCTCTCTCTCCTCAAATTCCTTATAACACTTTGCCCTTACTACATTCTCCCTTATATCATACCTATTTACTTACATTTTAATTCCCCATTAGATTGCAAACTTTAGTTTCACTTTTCATCTTTGTATAGAGACATATAGAGTAGAAGCTTCAAAAGTTTATTAAAATGAATTATACTCAGCCACACTTGACATCACTGTAATTTCCCCCCATCAGTCTGTCACTCTGTCTGGAAGAAATGCTAGGTGAAGAGGTCAAATTTAAATACTACTCTTAAAAGTTACACTGTAATTAAATCAAATTTACATGAATACAAGCCATTCCCCAATTGATAAATGGTCAAAGGATATGAACAGACAGTTCTCTGATGAAGAAATTAAAGCCATCTATAGTCATATGAAAAAATGATCTAAATCATTATTGATTAGAGAAATGCAAATCAAAACAACTCTGAGGTACCACATCACACCTATCAGATTGGCCAACATGACAAAACAGGAAAATGATAAATGTTGGAGAAGATGTGGGAACATTGGAACACTAATGCATTGTTGGTGGAGTTGTAAAATGATTCAACCATTTTGGAGAATAATTTGGAACTATGCCCAAAAGGCTATAAAAATGTGCATACCCTTTGACCCAGCAATAGCACTTCTAGGGCTATATCCCAAAGAGATCATACAAATGGGAAAAGGACTCACTTGTACAAAAATATTCATAGCAGCTCTTTTTGTGGTGGCAAAGAATTGGAAATTGAGAGGATGTCCATCAATTGGGGAATGGCTGAGCAAGTTGTGGTATATGAATGTAATGGAATACTATTGTGCTATAAGAAATGATGAACAGGCTGACTTCAGAAAAACCTGGAAAGACTTGTATGGTCTGATGCTGAGTGAAATGAGCAGAACCAAGAGAACTTTGTACACAATAACAGCCACATTATGTGATGACTAATATTGATAAACTTAACCCTTCCCAGCAATATAAGAATCTAAGACATCTCCAGAGGCCTCATGATAGAAAATGCTATCCACATCCAAAGAAAGAACTATGAAAGTTGAATTGCTATTTTTTTTCTCTTCTGTTGAGTTTTGCTTCCTCTTTCTGATGGTTCCTCCTATTGGTCTTAATTTTTACTTACAACACCACTAATGTGAAAATATGTTTAATAGGAATGTAAATGTATAATCTATATCAGATTGTGCACTGTCTTAGGGAGGGTGGTGGGGAGGAAGGGGGAGAAAAATTTTAAACTCAAAAGCATATGGAAGTGATTATTGATAAATCAAAATAAATTAATAAAATTTTTAAAAAATTACACCGTAAATTCAGATGATGGTAAGCCATTTTAAGTAGACTTGGCCAAACCTGGCATATTAGTTTCATCCTGGTGTAGGAGTAGAACCCCCTCAGTTTCACAATGAGAGACTGAACATATCAAATTCTAGTTTCATATTACAAAATAGGACATCATTTAGAACAGACTTTTAAATCGGTATAGACAGATATACTGATCGAAAATGTGAGAGATTGGTTTTCTTGACTACAACAGGAGGTGTTGAGGGGAAAAGAATTCTTCCTAAACAAAAACATAACATTTTCCCCATATGAATTCAAAGAAACAAAATATTCATCAAATCTTGTGAGTTTCAAGCATAGTGGCAAGCACAATTTTTGATTGGCAGAAGGTGAAGGAGTGGGTTGAGCAATACTCAATTCGTAACTGCCCTTGGCTTCAGGTTTCAGAATTGAACTTTATTAAAACTAACACAATAAAAGTTTATGAATTATTATGTAAAAGAAACAGGATTCTAATTTCTTTTGACTATGCAATCTTGTATTAGATACAAAATTTATAAACCTTCCCCATACAGCTTTTTTGTATGGTTAACATTTATTTGGTAGTCTGGCAAATGGTAAAACAAAATAAATAAGTTGTCTATCACTTGTGGAAAATTTTAAACTCTATACAAGAATCCCATATTTTGTATTTAGATGCTTAGTACCTTTACTTAATTACAAACTGGCATTAACCTCATAATTTTATGTCCATTGTAGCCTTTAATACTGGAAATGGGAACTCATCTGATTTCATAGCTTAGTTCCAGGGTCAATCTGAATCCAAAGATATAAATATGAACGCAATGGTCAGTTCAAATTTGCCATATTTGCTCCTACCCAATGTTTCTCCCCACTGCCTCCTACACTTCGGTCATATTAGTAAGTTTGCCTCACTAAAGACAATTTGTTTTTCACAGAAGATTTAGAGTTTGAAGAGATCATCATGACAGAATTCACTACTGTCCTTCAAAAGCACGTCGTAGGCACATTTGTATAGCAGAAACAGGACAATGAATTAAGACCCTGACTAGAGCATTGGTGCTATTGTTGTTCAGTCACGACTAACTCTTCATGACCCCATTTGGGGTTTTCTTCCCAAAGATACTGGAGCAATTTGCCACTTCCTTCTCCAGCTCATTTTACAGATGAGGAAACTGAGGCAAACAGGGTTAAATGACTTGCTAAAGGTTACACAGCTAGTAAGAGCCTGAGGTCAGATTTGAACTCAGGTATCCCTGACTCCAGGCCCAGAGCTCTATCTACTGTGCCAACTAGCTGCCTGAATTCTTCTATGTTGATGTAACTACCTTCGTGGCACCAAGATGAATCACACATGTCTTCCAAGGCAATGTAAAACATTTCAATGGTCACACAGAAATGGCTCACTGTCACAAATACAACCAAAACCAAAATAAGAAATGACTATTAAGTCATGAAAACATAATTACTGGTCTTAAACTTCCTTACCTCCAATATTCTGAATAACTATCGTACTTGCCACAGCCACCTACAAAAATAATATATTCATTCAGAAGACATAAGAACATTTAACAATAAATGTCAGAAATATCAGAACCTTTTAATACAAGAAATATTATTACTAAACTAGATGGAGAAGGCACTCACAACAAGGAAGACATGAAGTGCCTTATGCCTACCATTTATAACTTTACCTCCTATATGATAGTAAATAATTGTCTCATATGAGACCTTTCTTTAAAAGTTCCCCCTAGATACTTTAAGGTTTTGTAATTTTAGCAACATGGGTACTCTGTCCAACTAATTCAGATCACACCCCTTCTATAACATCAGATGGTTTTGAGAATTACTATGGGTAAAAAATTCATCACCCTGTGGCTAAGCTGCTGAGCCTCTCTGAATTTAGCTACACCAGTCATCAGACAATCAGTCAATTTACTAGGCCTATGCTAGAAATTTTTGCTAGTCTAAAAGAGCTTATGCTTTTCTGATATGAGCTTCAAAAACTCAAGGTCACCTCCATGGCACTGTGAAGCATCATAGTAGGACTTCAGTGGAAGTCAATAGTAAAGCACAAAGAAAACTTTAGAAAGGTTTTTATGTATGTGTGTTTGTGGGTTGGGGGGGAAAGGAGTCAGGCAAATTTTTTACCTTGTCAAGTACTGATAGAGTTTTGTATTAATCAATGAATGTTTTATATTCATAGAGGCAGAATGGCATAGTATAATGCTGAGTTAATATCAAGATGTCCTAGGTTCAAATCCTGCATTGAAACTATGCGAACCTGGGAAAATCGTCAAACCTCCCTGGGACTCAGTTAACACTAAGAGTCACAGGTTGTGATCTGTGCTGGAGTGTCATACACCCATAAAAGCACATATCCCTAGCATAATTTCATTTAATGCTGATCAATTCATAAAAATTAAATGGAATCCATCTGGGTCTTTCTTTCTTTCTTTCTTTCTTTCTTTCTTTCTTTCTCTCTCTCTCTCTCTCTCTCTCTCTCTCTCTCTCTCTCTCTCTCTCTCTCTCTCTCTCTCTTCTTTCTTTCTTTCTTTCTTTCTTTGCCAAGTTAGGCACTTCTTCTGTGAGCAGCCTGATGCATGCTGCTGCTTTTTGGGCAGAAGGATGACATATGGCCCTCAGAGTTCATTAGTATAGCATACAACAGGCCTTTGGGATTCTCTGTTCCATCTTTGAAGTGGAGGTAAGCTGTCTTGCCAAAGATATGGTTACTAACTGGAACAAGTTCAAAGAGTTATAATATGCTAATTCTCTAACCACCTAAATCCAAAATATAGAAATTTTGTATCCTGTAGTAATTTTTAAAAAGCCAAGACAAAAAACCTTATTCTCCCTAAAATTTAGAAATCCCAGCCTTGCACTTAGGTCAGTTCATTGGATATTCCTAGGGTTCAGACATACGGAAGGGCAAGGGGCCGGGGCGGGGGGGGGGGGCAAGAGGAGGAAGGAACACCCTCAAGTCACAGTGGACCTGCATACTACATATATCTCTGGAAACATTTAGCCTCCTAAAGTCCTTGAGTTGAACCTTCCTTCGGTAGCACAAGACTGTACCAGACTGCTTTGCCTATTCCTTACCCTCAAAGTGACTTACGTTCTTGGATATAAAGCTGAGCAGATTTGGGATTATCAAACTGGTAGGCATGCTTTTAGGACTAGTGATTTCTCTTCTGACATTTCCCAAAAAGGAATTTCAAGTGGCCCCTTTAAATAAGCCAAAATATATAAGTCAAAGTGATGGTTTGAACTTTTCTTTGTATACAAAAATGATGCCCAGTATTTTAGGACATGCACTTAGAGTTGTTTTTCTAGGAATAGTGATTAAGTTGCACCATGCCAGAAATACTCTCTTGCCAGTTACCCTTGTGATAAATAACAAACGTTTGCAAGATGGATTCCTGAAACTGGAAACTGTGATTCCTAGCCTTAGAACAGTTTTCCTCCAGGCAAAGCTATTTAAAATGTTGCTAGAACTTTGGCCACTCTTGCATTATACTTTAACTTCTTAGGCATACGTAAAAGTGTAAGAGTACCAAGTCTATGACCACATTATAACATTTGTAAAAGAATCAATTAATATTAAAATATCCTTTGTTAACAGCAGAAAATTTTTTCTGACTATAACATTTATTAAAAGAATTTCTGAAATATTTAAAACATTTCTCATGACTCACTTCTCAGAAGAATATACAATACACAAAATAACCTAGTTTCACAAATGTCAAAACAGACCCAAAGAGGATTCTTCCTAACAAAAGAACAGGGTCAAGAGTTGAGCCTTTATCTAGTAGAAACCATACCATTTTTCTGCTTCATGTTGATGAGAATTATAAAAGAAAACGGCAGTGAACATCTTTACTTATTTTAAGCAATTACGCTAATAAGTTTCACTTCTTTAGCAATCTACACTTTTCCAGAAAATTGATGCTAAAGTTAGAAACCCTATGCTAATGCAGATTAACAATGATGATAGTGATGATGCTTAGAGGGATGTTTATAAATCAAGAACTAATCAGGATGTTTTCTTAAAACATTTTCTTCTACTGAGTCTTCGACAAATTTGTTCTTAATCAAACCACATACAGGAAGTTCCTTGATGATTGAATACATTCTCATATTTGTATCTTTATGAAACAAACATCCTGTTCTCTTAGAAATAAAAAACTGTCATCAAGGATAATTACCAGAAACTTTCATAATTAGTTTCATATACTCGTCATATTCTTCACTTTGTCAAGGTTGTAGTTCATTGAAATTACTAAGGGGCTAAGTCACAATTAAAATACATCTTTTTGTGCTTTTGAAACATGTTTACCTTAGTTTGATTATGAACTAGAATTTTTTTTCTATCACCTTTACAATATCTTCCTGACATAGTATAGTATATTTGAAAGCACTGGGCTTCGAGTTGGAAGACTTAGGTTTTGATTCTGATTCTGCTGCTTCCTCATAGAATGTAACATAATGTCTCTGAGTCTTAGTTTCTTCATCTGTAAAATGGATTACCTATCTCACAGGGTTCATGTGAGGATTGAATGAGTTAATGAAGGTAAAAGCATTTCAAAACTGCAAAGCACTTTGTAAACATTATTATTTTTCCTCCCATTATCACCATCATCTATTCAGCTGTTCTAACAAATACTGAGAGAGGCAGCAGGGCCTGGGCTGAAATTATGCTTCTAAAATATACTAGCTACACAGTGCTGCATAAGGTACGACCTCTCAGTCCTCCAGGCAACTGTTAAGTTGGATACAGTTGGGTATCTGCAGTTGGGTATGAGTTTCTTCACCAAAAGTTCCCTACATAAAAAAAATTAGAGATCCAGACCAAAAATAAAACAAAATAAATAACCAATATACATATTTTTCCCCTCACACAGATTTCATAGATTTAGAACTGGAAGGGGCCATGAGTCAAATAATCCAATTCAATCATTTTATAAATGAAGAAACTGAGGCCCCAAGAGGCCAAGTGATTTCCCCATATTTACAGAGTTATATGCCAGAGGGAGGACATTTTAGAACAACACAGAATAGAGACTTTGGAAGTAGAATGGGTCATTAATAAGGCAGTTTTGTGACAGGAATAAGTGAATTTGTAACTGCTTGCGGAAACAGGCAGCATGCTCTAATGAAAAATAAACTAAAATAGTTGCCAAGAAATCTGGTCTCTAGTCCTTGCTGCCACTAACTAGCTGTGTGACCTTGAACAAGTTAGGTAAGTCAAGAAGCACTTATTAAGGGTTTACTACGTCCTAGGCACTGTGCTAAGTATTAGAGATACAAAGAAAGACAAAAAAAAAATAGTCACTGCCTTAAATAGGGAGACAACATGCAAACTAATGCACATAAAAGATAAACAGGATAAATGGAAAGCAATCACAGGGGGAAGACACTAGCATGAAGGAGGCTAAGAAAGGCTTTTTGCAGGAGGGATTTTAGCTGAGACTTGAAAGAAGCCAGGAGGCAGAAACTAGGAGGGAGAATTCCAGGTATAGGGAAGAGCCAGTGAAAATGCTAGGAATCAGGGGATTGAGTGTCTTGCATGAGAAATATCAAGGAGGCTACTGTCCCTGGATCACAGAGTATGTGGAAGAGACTAAGGTGTAACAACACTAGAAAAGTAGGAGGAGATAATGTTATTATCAAGGGCTTTAAAAGTCAAACAGAGGATTTTATATTTGATCCTGGAGGCAATAGGGAACCAATGGAGTTGTCAGGGTTGAGAGACTAGGGGACGTGACATGGTCAGATCTCTACTTTAGGAAGATTACTTTGGCCATTGCATGGAGAATGAACAGGAGTTGGGATATACTTGAGGCAAGGAGATAACGAGGAGGCTATTGTAATAATCCAGGCATGAGGTGATGAGGGCTTGTATCATGGTGGTAGCTGGGTAAGTTGAGAGAAGGGAGTGATGGTAGAGATGTTGGGAAGGTAGAATTGATAGGACCTGGCAAATGACTGGATATTAGGGATGGAAGTTGAGAATACCACCTTAATTGTGAACCTCAGCAACTGGGAGGATGGAGGAATCCTCAATAGTAATAAATTTAGAAGGGGGTAGGTTTTAGGGGTATGAGTTCCATTTTCAATATGTTCAGTTTAACCTCTCTACAAGGCATTCCGTTTCAGATGTCCAATAAGTAGTTAGAAAAGAATGAAGAGATGTCGAAGCATTTGTTGTAAATGGCTTTCTCACAGAGTTTAGCCAGGAAGGGGAGGAGAGATCTCAGATGATGGCTAAAGGTTATGGACAGATCCAGTAAGGGTTTTTTGGTTTGTTTGTTTGCTTGTTTTTTGAGAATGGGGGAGACATGAAGCATCCAATAGAAAAGGAAAGATTAATTATTAGTGAGAGAGGGGACAACAGAGGGACCAAACTACTAGAGAACACAGAATGGAACAGGTTTGTATATGTATAGAGTTTGTCCTAGGACAAGGGCCACTTCTTCGTGTGAGACAGGAGTGAAGGAAGACAGTGAGAGAAGACATCTTGAGTTA